TCTCTCTCTCTCTCTCTCTCTCTCTCTCTCTCTCTCTCTCTCTCTCTCTCTCTCTCAGTCCGGTACTAACCTGTGAAGTTGGCGCCTTGATGCAGCTATGGCGCCACAGGTAAGTGTCCCTGGCCTCCGCCAGCCATCTCTCTCTCTCACCTCCTCTACCTCTACTAGCGCCTAGCGCTGAAGACTACTGCTACGGCTACTAGCTCCCAGCGCTGAAGACTTACTGCTAGCGCTAAGCTACTCCTGCAGCGCTACTCCAGAGTGCTGCTGCTACCGCCTCGGCCTCTGACTACCCGTGAAGTGCATGGGAACTCCCTATGTACTACTCGGCCTGCCTCCTGACTGCCTGCAGCTGCAGGGCGGGGCAGTCCAGGAGGCTGCTCTTGCCAATGCCGAAATGATCCAGGGCCTGCCGCTGCAGCTCCTGCTGAGGCTGGCTTGGGAACAGGCCAAAAATAGCCTGTTCCGAAACCCTGGTTTGGTGCCTGAGTGTTAGGGCAGGTCGATCTTATGAGGGCCGAAAGTGGCCCTCCGTTTCAGGCTGAAAAGACTCAGGGCCTGAAAGGCCCTGTTTTAGGCTGAAACGACATAGGGCCTCCAGGCCCTCATTTTTCAGTCTTTCAGGCTGAAACGACACGGGGCCTGTAAGCCCTTGTTTCTAGGCTTTTAGGCTGAGACTGCGGGACAGGCCCTGCAGGCCCGTGTGGCTGAGCAGTATGCCACAGGACTACTGCAGTATGAAGGATGGTTACTAATTCTGATAACATTGGGAACAGCGACATGAGGACTACTTGGGGATCTGATTTCATCTTCCTTCTGGAGATGTACTTGACGATATCTGAGACATTGTGAGACATGGCATTCGCGACATTTTGGATTTTCGTCACTTCTGACATTTCAAGATACTATCTTTGGAAACATTGAGTTGACGTCATCTTCCCTGTTACATGCTGCGCCTGCAACAGGCTGCAACAGGCCCATGTCATTTTCAGCCTGAAAGCCTGAAAACGAAGGCTTACAGGCCCCGTGTCTGTTTCAGGCCGAAAGCCTGAAATCCAGGGCTTACAGGCCCCGTGTTGCATACTGTAACGGTGCATACCAGAACAAGAACCGACCTCTCAATACAAAGTACAAGATAGCGTAGCGGAAGACTTAGATACCAATGATCCGAACAACCAATATTGCAATTCAGCCCGATCATACATCATCATCATCATTCCATGGTGTGAAGGGGTCTGGCGCTTCACACAGGAAGACTGCGCCAGCCCCAACCATACACAGACGAAGGGGATGGGGGTTAGACGAAGAAGAGGGGAAGATGGGAATGTCGTCAACACCAAGTGTTCAGCACAGGCCCAAATAGTCCCTCTTCAAAATGTCTGAATCCCAATGTCGAGTCTGGATCCAATGTCGTCAAGTCTCAAGTCACAACTCTCTCTCTTTGGAGTAGTCCGCTGATACTGAGAAGTCAGGTGTTGAGAGGGGAAGAAGAGATGGTGGACTTAGAAGAGGAAGAAGAAGAACTCTCTCTCTCTCTCTCTCACTCAGTCCAGTACTAACCTGTGAAGTTGGGGCCTTGATGCAGGTACCTCGGAGATGGAGCTGGAGCGAGGGCGCCACAGGTAAGTCTCACTGGGCTCCGCCAGCCATCTCTCCCATCTCTACTACTACCACCTACTAGCGCCCAGCGCTGAAGACTACTGCTATGGCTACTAGCGCCCAGTGCTGAAGACTACTGCTAGCGCTAAGCTACTCCTGGCAGCGCTCCTCCTGAGTGCTGCGGCCGAATCCTGAAGACTACTCGTCCTACTGTCCAACTACCTGCCGGTGAAGTGCATGGGAAACCCCTATGTACTACTCGGCCTGGACTGGCTGCAGGCGAGGCAGCAGTCCAGGAGGCCGCTCTTGCCAATGCCGCAGGGAGTCAGGGGCTGCCGTTGCAGCTCCTGCTTGAGGCAGTCGTGGGAAACAGGCTAAAGATAGCCTGTTCCCGAAACCCTGCTTAGGGTAGGTCGATCTTATGAGGGCCCGAGAGTGGCCCTCCGTTTCAGGCTGAAAAGCCTCAGGGCTGAAAAGCCCTGAGATAGGCTGAAAACGAAATAGAGCCTGCAGGCCCTCATTGTCAGTTTCAGGCTGAAACGACATGGGGCCTGTAAGCCCTATTTTCTAGGCTTTTAGGCTGAGAATGCGGGACGGGCCCTGCAGGCCCGTGTGGCTACACAGTATGCCACACCCCATGTCTGTTTCAGCCCGAAAGCCTGAAATCCAGGGCTTACAGGCCCCATGGCATTTAAGGGCCAATAGGCCCTCAGGCTTTAGCCAGAAGCTACCTGGAAACTTCTCGGAAGCTTCCCCAGGCTTTAGCCAGAAGCTACCTGGAAACTTCCGGAAGTTTCCTCAGGGTCTAGCACGTTTGGGCATTGGCAAGGGCAGCGTCTTGGACGGGCCAGTACTATATAAGACTGGCCTGCCCTACAGGCAGGCAGGTAGTTCATAAGGACTGGCCAGGCACTTCACGTGCAGTTCAGGCAGGAGGCTGTTGTAGTCTTCAGGATTCAGCAGCAGCACTCTGGAGGGAGCGCTGCAGGGTAGTAGTGGCGTTAGCTTTTAGTCTTCAGCGCTGGGCGCAGTAGGTAGCTGTAGTCTCCAGCGCTGGGCGCCATAGCTAGGATAGCACTAGAGAGAGAGAGAGGTTGGGCGGAGGCCAGAGGTACTTACCTGCAGCGCCGTTGCTCCAGCTTCATCTTCGAGGTACCTGCAGCACAGCGCCAACATCACAGGTTAGTATCTGGCTCGTAACAGAGAGAGAGAGTTCTTCTTCTTCCTCTTCTCAATCCACCATCTCCTTCTCCCCCTCTCATCATCTGACTTCACTGCATCTGCTTGGTGACATCTGATCCAGACTCGACTTTTGGACTTCAGACATTGCAACGAGGGATTATTTGGGACTTGTGACAAAGACTTGGTGTTGACGACATTCCCATCTCTCTCCCTCCTTTCGTCTGATTCCCTCCTCTTCGTCTGTGTATGTCTGGACCTGGCGCTTTCTTCCTGTGTACAGCGCCAGGCTCCTTCACACTTGGTGATGGATACGATGTATGTTTGGTCTGCATTCAAACATTGATTGGGATAGTCATTTGCATTCTAGCATTCTGCTTCGCTATCTGGTACTATGTGAATGAGGTCAGTCCTGGTCAGGTCAGGCTTTGTATCTAAGTCTTCCCTGCACTATTCAGCACCATTTTGTATGTATGAGAATGCACATTGCTTGTTGAGATTCTACTTGCACTGCATTGTCCATTCAGTCCATTTCATCACATTGCGGATCCTCGGTTTCTATGTACATCGCCCAACTGGGCATGTAACATTCCCTCTCCTCCTCCCTTCGTCTCTCTCCTCCCTCCATTCGTCCGTGGATGATCTCAGACCCTGGCCTTCATCTATGTCTACGGCCAGGGCTTTCACACCCCCGGAGTATGATTGAGAGTGTTCGATTGCAGTCCGAGTCAGGTCCGAGTCAGTCCAAGGTATTTCAAGTCTTCCGCTTGCATTTTTATTAACGCTGTATTATCTGGTCGGTTTTGGGAATCTGCTCCATACTTATGACTGTGTTTCACGAGTATGCAACATCTTGCCACTACGCGTGTCAACCATGGTGGAAGGTGTATAACCCAGAATCAGTTCCACTCCTCACCACTTAAACTCACCCCCCTGAATGACTTAACTTATACTGACTCAATCTAAGGACCACAAAATCTTAAAAGATCCTGTCAACTAGGGTGCCTAGCCTAGACCTAACTAAGGTTGTCACTACAGGACTTACTGCTGATCAGGAGGCATTTAAGGAGATCTCCCGTCACTCAGGAATTATTTAACGTCGCAAACCGGACGACGCGATCAGCAAGTCCTCTCGAGACTTAGACAGCTTGTTGTGCAGCCCACAGCTCGGATTTTGGGCCTACTGTGCCCCACCGAGCAGCCCGGCATTGTGTACCGGTCCTTGGGAGGGTTCGTGTCCTCCGGGTCAGTCGAGTCGTCAGACACAGCCTTTGGCCCTACTCAGCCCATGTGGGTTTGGTCAACAAAGCTCTATGACCACATACACAGAGTTCCTATCACCTGGACAGAAGAGACTCAGTGCAGAAAGAAGAGACAGACAGACAAAGTACCATGGGGTGAGTGCACATCCGAAGGGCGAGGGGATAGGCTGAAGGCTTGGCGAGAATATACCAACTCCAGCTTGGTCAATTTCGTGGTCAACAGCCCCGGTCAACGCATTGGTCAACGCTTGGTCAATGCCGGTCAACGCCCTGGTCAACTTCAGACAGCTCACCGGTCAACTCTCCGGTCAAGTCTTGGTCAACGTTGGTCAGCCCTTTGGTCAACACCTTAGTCAATCCTTGCTTCGGCTATGGCTGCCGCCACTTTCTTCCTCACCAATCCTCGCGTCTCTTTCCCCCACCTTTCTTCTTCCTCGCTTTCTTTCTCTCCGC